CCCATACATCCTCACTGGGATATCATATGAGGGAAGGCCCATACATCCTCACTGGGATATCATATGAGGGAAGGCCCATATGTCCTCACTGGGATATCTTGTGAGGGAAGTCCCATACGTTCTCATTGAAATTCCTTATGAGGGAAGGCCCATACGTCCTCATTGGGATATCGTATGAGGGAAAGCCCATACGTCCTTATTGGGATATCTTATGAGGGAAGGCCCATATGTCCATATCGCCCAACGCATCAAATTCAAACTACTCACTCTGACCTACAAAGCCATTCACAACACTGCCCCTAACTACCTCACCGACCTGATTCCCAAGTACCACCCTACCCGTACCCTTCGCTCTTCACAGGACCTCCTTCTATCTTGCTCCCTGGTCTCCTCCTCACACGCACGTCTGCAAGACTTCTCCAGGTCCTCCCCCATCCTCTGGAACTCACTACCCCAATCCATCAGACTGTCACCTTCCCTCCTCACCTTCAGGCGCTCCCTGAAAACCCACCTCTTCAGGGAAGCCTACCCCACCCTCACCTAACTGCTGCTCTCCTTCATTCCTCCTACCACTCCATCCCCCACAGCCACTTCCTCCTGTACCACTACCCCCTCCCTCCTAGATAGTAAGCTCCAAAGAGTAGGGCCCTATAACCCCTCGTGTGCTGTTTGTAGTTGCTGTAATGTTTCATGTATTGTCCCCCCCTCTATTGTACAGCGCTGAGCAAACCCTTTGGCGCTATATAAACTCAATGTAATGTAATAATGTCCTTACTGGGATATCTTATGAGGGAAGACCCATACATCCTCACTGGGATATCTTATGAGGGAAGGCCCATACGTTCTCACTGGGATATCTTATGAGGGAAGACCCATACATCCTCACTGGGATATCTTATGAGGGAAGGCCCATACATCCTCACTGGGATATCTTATGAGGGAAGACCCATACATCCTCACTGGGATATCTTATGAGGGAAGACCCATACATCCTCACTGGGATATCTTATGAGGGAAGACCCATACATCCTCACTGGGATATCTTATGAGGGAAGACCCATACATCCTCACTGGGATATCTTATGAGGGAAGGCCCATACATCCTCACTGGGATATCTTATGAGGGAAGGCCCATATGTCCTCACTGGGATATCACCCAATAAGAAATATACTACTTTTTTATTGGGTCAATGACATCATGGAGTTGGGGACTCGCAGTATCTCTATTGCATCTTGCTGGGAGGCTGGAGGTTACCTAATAGGAGGCAGCTGGTGCTGTCTTTGGCTTCAGACTTACTTTACAGTCGACCACTTATAGTGAACTGGTAAGTAGTCCCTTGTACCACTTTGTACAAGTTCATTAATACACCAGACGAATCACATATCCACCTAGTGGAGTGATTATCGACTCCAATCTACCGATCACTGGCAGATTGTCAACTAATCTCTGATCTCTAAAGGTCAGGCCACTGACTGGTGACAATCCGCGCACACCTATCAGTCAGTACGGGTAAGTGTTGCCAACCCAGGGGGGCCTGCCAGGAAACAATTGGAGATTCCTTGAAAAGGCAGCCAGCCAGTTCTCTGAGCAGGGAACAAGGCTTCTGGGGAAATATCTGTAGCTAACACCTCCAGCTCTGCCAAGGTTCCAAGGATTAAAGAAATCAGAGTTTTGACACATTTTGGTGTATATTGATCGTTTCCCAGACTTGATACTTAGGCAGGTGGAAGGAAAGAAAATTGCATGTTCCCCCCATTGACACAGTGTGGGGAATCCTTCCTGCAGCACTATTGTTCCCTGCTGGCAGAACGCAATAATCGCAGCTAACGGCTGTAGCATGCAAAATATCCGACAGGCTGGTTGTACTGAAATACAAGATTGATGGATGACATCAGTACAACCATCCTTCCCATAGATGGATCAAATCTCGGCCAGACCCTGTTGAACTGGACAAGATTTGAACCATCCACAACCAGCTGTAAATCAGCAGGAAGAGATCTCAGGCATTCAGGTCAGGGACAAGGGGTGGGCAGGGGGGACAGTTGCCCAGGGTGCAGTAGTAGGGCAGGACGCCCTATCACCGCATGCAAGCTCCAGATCTGTGGCCAGCAACCAGCAGTTTGCAGCTTCATGTCTGCTCTGACAACTACTGCTGTCACCCTGTGGCCCAACATACTCTCTCTCCACCCCATCTGCCCACAGCTGACGCAACAATAAAAAGTGCATGTGGAGCTACGTTCTAGCCACAAAAAAAGCAACTGATTGGCCATGCATGGGCAGTGCACATTCCGTGCCAAGCATGGGCAGCCAAAGCAAGGGGCAAAGAATGAGTGCAAGGCGGTACACCCATTATATGGCATGTATTGGGGGGGGGGGGGGGGCACAGTTCTGCATCCTTGCCTTGGGCAATGGGGGGAACCTGTTCCGGTACTGCTTTCTCTGACTGCTAGTCTCAGGAGTTTTAGAGTGAGATTTGGTGATGTCTCTACTGTGCTGCTCAAAGTTCTCCTTGCTGGAGGCTGTGGCATAAGGAAGCAAAGTCCTGCCTTTGCCAAGATGGCCGCCTCCATATGGAGACAGTGCAGAACAAGGCATGGTCAGCCAGTAATGCAGGAGAGATCAGCTGCAGGGAGACCACAGGCAATACTGGTGACTAGTCCCTTGTTCCCTGCCTGTCTTTTTTTTTTGGACACAGCATCCAGAGTTCCCCTTTAAATGTAGAATACTAGACTCGGCTTTGCTGTGGATCGTAGACTGTTCTACTTTCCTTGTTCTGTGGACTTTTTTCTGTTTTTACATGAAGTAAAGGTTGATATTTAGAAGTTTGTTCAGGTCACAAAGATCTTGTAAAAATACCAGTTTGCAGGACACAACAACACGGAAAAGAGGCCAAATGATAACTTTACATTTAAAAAAGGAATAACTGGCCATTAAATCGAGTTGGCTGGCTGTTCCTGCCACCAAATATATGTGTGACGGGAAAGGAAAGAGAACTCGGAGTCCACCTTACAGGACAGAATTGTCGACAAACTAACGTCACTGGCTAATCCGCGGTCCTCGCAGCGCCTGTACTGACCACACTGTACTTAAAGGGAGCATACAAGAGAACAAAATAATGATTGGGAGGAGCAAAGGACCAGGCTAGGGAGAATGCGTACTAGGTGGTTGGACACATTGACTTCAGCTGTGGGGATGATGCACCAGAATAGCACAAAGTAGACTTCTTTTTAGAGCTCTCATTCATCAAGTCGCTAGGACCTGACTTGATGGCACGTAACTATACGCCCACATGTGTCATGAAGGCTGCACAGATTAAAAAAAAAAAAGGAGGAAATAAAGCGTTTAGATGGGAATTGAAACTAGAGCATGCTCAGTGGATGACAACAGCTAGTGTACACAATCTCTGGCTACAGTGGGGACACAGAGAAGATGGGAGGGGAGGTGAAGGTAGGATCAACCAGGTACATTTCACTCTACACAGAATGAATGCTTTAATGACTTTGTGAGTATGTTATATAGCATGTAATGACAGGTTTTCAGTCTGGGTTTAATGACACTTTAATCATGGTTATAACTGTCTGCCAATATCTGAGCTATTCCTAATCAAGGTTCCTCCAGAGGTTGCTAAGGGTTCCTTGAGCTGTGGCTGGTGGCCTCTCATTGGATGGAGCCTGCATAGTTTCAGGGCCAGCACTGTAAGGATTGCATTCTAAGTACTATTGTAAGGGGGGTCATTCTTCCCACTGACCCCCAATGTAAGGGACATTCTTCCCACTGACCCCCAATGTAAGGGACATTCTTCCCACTGACCCCCAATGTAAGAGACATTCTTCCCACTGATCACCAATGTAAGGGACATTCTTCCCACTGACCCCCAATGTAAGAGACATTCTTCCCACTGACCCCCAATGTAAGAGACATTCTTCCCACTGACCCCCAATGTAAGGGACATTCTTCCCACTGACCCCCAATGTAAGGAGCATTCTTCCCACTGACCCCCAATGTAAGGGACATTCTTCCCACTGACCCCCAATGTAAGGGACATTCTTCCCACTGACCACCAATGTAAGGGACATTCTTCCCACTGACCCCCAATGTAAGGGACGTTATTCCCACTGATCCCCAATGTAAGGGACATTCTTCCCACTGACCTCCAATGTAAGGGACGTTATTCCCACTGATCACCAATGTAAGGGATATTCTTCCCACTGACCACCAATGTAAGGGACATTCTTCCCACTGACCACCAATGTAAGGGACATTCTTCCCACTGACCCCCAATGTAAGGGACATTCTTCCCACTGATACCCAATGTAAGGGACATTCTTCCCACTGACCCCCAATGTAAGGGACATTCTTCCCACTGACCCCCAATGTAAGGGACGTTATTCCCACTGATCACCAATGTAAGGGATATTCTTCCCACTGACCACCAATGTAAGGGACATTCTTCCCACTGACCACCAATGTAAGGGACATTCTTCCCACTGACCCCCAATGTAAGGGACATTCTTCCCACTGATACCCAATGTAAGGGACATTCTTCCCACTGACCCCCAATGTAAGGGACATTTTTCCCACTGACCCCCAATGTAAGGGACATTTTTTCCACTGACCCAATGTAAGGGACATTCTTCCCACTGATCACCAATGTAAGGGACATTCTTCCCACTGACCCCCAATGTAAGGGACATTCTTCCCACTGACCACCAATGTAAGGGACATTCTTCCCACTGACCCCCAGTGTAAGGGACATTCTTCCCATTGACCCCCCCAATGCACTAACTTTAGCAGGAGTTCCCGAAGACCCATGGCATTATTATAGGGGTTCTTCTGGGGTAAAAAGGTTGACAAGGTTTGACTTAGAACATCTCCACAACATATGTATGAGATCTGTCACCGTGGCACCCAGTGAGCTGTGGGCTGGTGGCCTCTCATTGGATGGAGCCTGCATAGTTTCAGGGCCAGCACTGTAAGGATTGCATTCTAAGTACTGTTGTAAGGGGGTCATTCTTCCCACTGACCCCCAATGTAAGGGACATTCTTCCCACTGATCACCAATGTAAGGGACATTCTTCCCACTGACCACCAATGTAAGGGACATTCTTCCCACTGACCACCAATGTAAGGGACATTCTTCCCACTGACCCCCAATGTAAGGGACATTCTTCCCACTGACCCCCAATGTAAGGGGCATTCTTCCCACTGACCCCCAATGTAAGGAGCATTCTTCCCACTGACCCCCAATGTAAGGGACATTCTTCCCACTGACCCCCAATGTAAGGGACATTCTTCCCACTGACCACCAGTGTAAGGGACATTCTTCCCACTGACCCCCAATGTAAGGGACGTTATTCCCACTGATCCCCAATGTAAGGGAAATTCTTCCCACTGATCACCAATGTAAGGGACATTCTTCCCACTGACCCCCAATGTAAGGGACATTCTTCCCACTGATCACCAATGTAAGGGACATTCTTCCCACTGACCCCCAATGTAAGGGACATTCTTCCCACTGATCACCAATGTAAGGGACATTCTTCCCACTGATCACCAATGTAAGGGATATTCTTCCCACTGACCCCCAATGTAAGGGACATTATTCCCACTGATCCCCAATGTAAGGGACATTCTTCCCACTGACCACCAATGTAAGGGACATTCTTCCCACTGATCACCAATGTAAGGGACATTCTTCCCACTGATCACCAATGTAAGGGATATTCTTCCCACTGACCCCCAATGTAAGGGACATTATTCCCACTGATCCCCAATGTAAGGGACATTCTTCCCACTGATCGCCAATGTAAGGGATATTCTTCCCACTGACCCCCAATGTAAGGGACATTATTCCCACTGACCCCCAATGTAAGGGACATTCTTCCCACTGACCACCAATGTAAGGGGCATTCTTCCCACTGATACCCCAATGTAAGGGACATTCTTCCCACTGATCACCAATGTAAGGGACATTCTTCCCACTGACCCCCAATGTAAGGGACATTCTTCCCACTGACCACCAATGTAAGGGACATTCTCCCCACTGACCCCCAATGTAAGGGACATTCTTCCCACTGACACCCAATGTAAGGGACATTCTTCCCACTGACCCCCAATGTAAGGAGCATTCTTCCCACTGACCCCCAATGTAAGGGACATTCTTCCCACTGACCCCCAATGTAAGGGACATTCTTCCCACTGATCACCAATGTAAGGGACATTCTTCCCACTGATCACCAATGTAAGGGACATTCTTCCACTGACCCCCAATGTAAGGGACATTCTTCCCACTGATCCCCAATGTAAGGGACATTCTTTCCACTGATCAGCAATGTAAGGGATATTCTTCCCACTGATCCCCAATGTAAGGGACATTCTTCCCACTGACCACCAATGTAAGGGATATTCTTCCCACTGACCCCCAATGTAAGGGACATTCTTCCCACTGACCCCCAATGTAAGGGGCATTCTTCCCACTGATCACCAATGTAAGGGACATTCTTCCCACTGACCCCCAGTGTAAGGGACATTCTTCCCACTGACCCCCCCAATGCACTAACTTTAGCAGGAGTTCCCGAAGACCCATGGCATTATTATAGGGGTTCTTCTGGGGTAAAAAGGTTGACAAGGTTTGACTTAGAACATCTCCACAACATATGTATGAGATCTGTCACCGTGGCACCCAAGGCAGTTTCGGTTGTCTCTGTGACAGTCAATATTTATTTTTTTTCTTTATTAAAAATATTTCTTGTGTAATTTTTAGCCAATCAAATTAATTCTCTAAGTTTTCCATTTTGTTATTTATTTTCTGTTGTAGTAAATCCTCAATCTTCAGTGCCCTCGGGGTGTTAATTCCCTCTTTAGCGTGGTTCCCCCTGGCGATGGACATTGCCGTGCGCGGCTCTTCTTAGACCTCGCTGTATATTTCTGTGGCTGCTAAGTTTTTTTTTTTTTTTTTTCAGCTTCCAAATGAATTTATCGATATTTCCGGGCAGGCTCTGTGTTTTTGTCAGCGCAGAGCGTATTTATTCCCTTTATTGTCTGCCTCCAATTTCCATTAAATAAGAATATCTTGGGCGAAGTCTAAGAAAAGTAATGCGCTGTCTCCCCTTTCATTGTAGCGCGGTTTATGGCGCCGCAAATTCAGCCCAAAACACGTTTATAAAGGAGCCAGTAAAAGTGTCAGTGCCAAGCATGCAGTTTTATGGCCGGCTCGGTGTTTGGTACGAAGATAAACAGCCGGCGGTACGCGGTTAATTGTTTAATTTGGCGCTCAGACATTACCAATCGCATGAAATATCTCCGGAGAATTTATAGAGTCTAAGCAAGCACCATCGTAAATATAAAGGGTCTCCTTCCTGTAGACATATCCGGTCCCGTCTTCAACGTCTTCAGTATGAAGGTCAATATCCAGTAGGATCTGGAACGCCATTCACTGAGAACTGAGAAACTCCTCCCACTGTTTGCTTTTTCTCCTGCATCATGGTGGGCAAACAGCTCTGATATAGGAAGCTCTCTTCTGCTTTCATTTGAACATTTTCCATCAGTGACATCCAACTGATGATGTACAGTGAAGGAAATGTGTATTTGCTCCCCTGCTGATGGTGAATGTTCGCCCCTCACACAGAAATGATCGGTCTAACAATGGAATGTTCGCCCCTCACACAGAAATGATCGGTCTAACAATGGAATGTTCGCCCCTCACACAGAAATGATCGGTCTAACAATGGAATGTTCGGTGTAACACTGAGAGACAGAATACAACAACAAATTCAGCAGAAATGTGTCTAACAAATGATGACTGATCTGCATGTTCATGAGAGAAAGAAGGATTTGATCCTCTATCATTCAGCAGGATTTCTGGCTCCCAGGTGTCTCTCATACAGGTAACAAGCTGAGATTAGAAGCAGTCTTTTAAAGGGAGTGCTGCTAATCTCATTGTGTTACCTGTATAAAAGACACCTATCCACAGGAGCCATCAAACCATCAGATTCCAAACTCTCCACCATGGCAAAGACCAAAGAGCTGTCCAAGGATGTCAGGGACAAGATGGTAGACCTACACAAGGCTGGACTGGGCTACCAAACTATGGCCAAGCAGCTTGGTGAGAAGGTGACAACAGTTGGTGCAATCATTCACAAATGGAAGAAACACAAAACAAGTGTCAGTCTCCCTCGGTCTGGTGCACCATGCAAGATCTCACCTCGTGGAGTGTCAATGATCATGAGAACAGTGAGGAATCATCCCAGAACTACACGTGAGGATCTTGTCAATGATCTCCAGGCAGCTGGGACCACAGTCACCAAGAAAACAATTGGTAACACACTACGCCGACAAGGACTGAAATCCTGCAGTGCCCGCAAGGTCCCTCTGCTCAAGAAAGCACATGTCCAGGCCCGTCTGAAGTTTGCCACTGAACATCTGAATGATGCAGAGGAGGACTGGTGGGAAGTGTTGTGGTCAGATGAGACCAAAATCCAGCTCTTTGGCATCAACTCAACTCGCTGTGTTTGGAGGAGGAGGAATGCTGCCTATGACCCCAAAAACAACATCCCAACTGTGAAACATGGCGGTGGAAACATTCTGCTTTGGGGGTGTTTTTCTGCTAAGGGGACAGGACAACTGCACTGCATCAAAGGGACGATGGACGGGGCAATGTACTATCAAATCTTGGGTGAGAACCGTCTTCCCTCAGCCAGGGCATTGAAAATGGGTCGTGGATGGGTGTTCCAGCATGACAATGACCCAAAACACACGGCCAAGGCAACAAAGGAGTGACTCAAGAAGAAGCACATTAAGGTCCTGGAGTGGCCTAGCCAGTCTGCAGACCTTCATCCGATTGAAAATCTGTGGAGGGAGCTGAAAGTTCGAGTTGCCAAACGTCCGCCACCAAACCTTAATTACTTAGAGAGGATCTGCCAAGAGGAGTGGGCCAAAATCCCTCCTGAGATGTGTGCAAACCTGGGGGCCAACTCCAGGAAACGTCTGACCTCTGTGATTGCCAAGAAGGGGTTTGCCACCAAGTACTAAGTCATGTTTTGTGAAGGGGATCAAATCCTTCTTTCCCTCATGAACATGCAGATCAGTCATCATTTGTTGGACGCATTTCTGCTGAATTTGTTGTTGTATTCTGTCTCTCAGTGTTACACCGAACATTCCATTGTTAGACAGATCATTTATGCAATGGCCAAGTCAATCACCTGATCTCAACCCCATTGAGCATGCATTTCACTTGCTGAAGGCAAACTAGAGGCAGAAAAACCCACAAACAAAGAGCAACTGAAGACAGCTGCAGGTAGAGCCTGGCAAAGTACCAGAAAGGAAGAAACCAAGTCTTTGGTCATGTCCATGGGTTCCAGACTTCAGGGAAAGCATCAGAAAGGAGGAAACCCAGTCTTTGGTCATGTCCATGGGTTCCGGACTTCAGGGAAAGCATCAGAAAGGAGGAAACCCAGTCTTTGGTCATGTCCATGGGTTCCGGACTTCAGCAAAGCATCAGAAGGGAGGAAACCCAGTCTTTGGTCATGTCCATGGGTTCCAGACTTCAGGGAAAGCATCAGAAAGGAGGAAACCCAGTCTTTGGTCATGTCCATGGGTTCCAGACTTCAGGCAAAGCATCAGAAAGGAGGAAACCAAGTCTTTGGTCATGTCCATGGGTCCCAGACTTCAGGCAAAGCATCAGAAAGGAGGAAACCAAGTCTTTGGTCATGTCCATGGGTTCCAGAGTTCAGGCAAAGCATCAGAAAGGAGGAAACCAAGTCTTTGGTCATGTCCATTGGTTCCAGACTTCAGGCAAAGCATCAGAAAGGAGGAAACCAAGTCTTTGGTCATGTCCATGGGTTCCAGAGTTCAGGCAAAGCATCAGAAAGGAGGAAACCCAGTCTTTGGTCATGTCCATGGGTTCCAGAGTACAGGCAAAGCATCAGAAAGGAGGAAACCCAGTCTTTGGTCATGTCCATGGGTTCCAGACTTCAGGCAAAGCATCAGAAAGGAGGAAACCCGGTCTTTGGTCATGTCCATGGGTTCCAGACTTCAGGCAAAGCATCAGAAAGGAGGAAACCCAGTCTTTGGTCATGTCCATGGGTTCCAGAGTACAGGCAAAGCATCAGAAAGGAGGAAACCCAGTCTTTGGTCATGTCCATGGGTTCCAGACTTCAGGCAAAGCATCAGAAAGGAGGAAACCCGGTCTTTGGTCATGTCCATGGGTTCCAGACTTCAGGCAAAGCATCAGAAAGGAGGAAAACCAGTCTTTGGTCATGTCCATGGGTTCCAGAGTTCAGGCAAAGCATCAGAAAGGAGGAAACCCAGTCTTTGGTCATGTCCATGGGTTCCAGAGTTCAGGCAAAGCATCAGAAAGGAGGAAACCCAGTCTTTGGTCATGTCCATGGGTTCCAGAGTTCAGGCAAAGCATCAGAAAGGAGGAAACCCAGTCTTTGGTCATGTCCATGGGTTCCAGACTTCAGGCAGTCATTGTCAGTAAAGGATTCTCAACAAAATATTAAAAATGAACATTTTATTTATGATTATAATCATTTTTCCAATTACTTTTGGTCCCTTGAAAAAGGGGGGATGGCTACTCTTAAGAGCTGTAATTCCTAAACCCTTCCTCCGATTTGGATGTACATCCCCTCCAATTACACCTGAGAGTGCGCACTGTCCGCCCAGATCCATTATAGAAGTAGAGCTGGAATATGTTTTGATAAATATGTGACAAAAACTAAAATTGTGTTCAAATATATATGGACCTAACTGTATGTATTGAGTTCTCTCTGTAGGGCCAAGTGCTCCTCTCCTGTACACACGTCTATAGCAGGGGGGTGAGGGCTCCGCGCTAAGCTGGGAATTGTAGGCATTGGAAGGCTGCAGCTTATCTACCCCACACAGGATGCGATTGGATAAACGGCTGTCACCTTGTTTTCTGTGTCATCGATCATTTTATATCGGGTAGATGCCGTTTATCTCCGTATGCTGCAAAATCACTCCGCCCTGATAGACAGCAAAGGATTCACCTAATAAAACCCATTTCTGTCTCGTTACTAAATAGACGTCTCTGCTGATTTACACTGCGATCCGTTTATATAGACGCCCCTCATCACTCGCGCTGCCTCTGCACCTATGGTCCTCATGTCCGGGAGTGGCGGCGTTGTGACATTATTTGTGTCATTCATTCCTGTTATCTCCTTATACCGGCACAGGGACCGATGGCTGGCGGCTCCAATCCAGATCTGGCAGATCTACATCCATTCCCTGAAGAGAGTGGACCTCAGCTGTGTCACCGGCCAGCTCACGCAAATGTCTCTGGTCCTTCGAGGGACGCAGGCGGTGCGCAAAGTCAGAGCGTACGCATCTCACCCGCATGAACTGAAGGTCGGTGGTGTTCTCCTTTACTTCGATCACACAATGCATTGAAATGGACATCGGCCTGTCTGGTGATTGTAACTTCTTCACCCCATTTACTAAATGTCCCCGTATCCTATTGGTCTGTATTGTGTACAGAAATGCAGCCAATGCACTCACAGACTCCAGCACCGCCCCCGCTGAGCCACCTCAGGCCTCACCCAACACATTGGAAGCTGCATAGCACACAGTCATTTGTTGTTTTTTTTACATTTTTTTGGTACAAAGAAGAACATCTAATACATAAAAAATAAGACAGAAATACAAATCACAACTACATCACCAATACATGAGTTCCCTTTGCAACACATTTTCCCCTCCCCCACCCTTCTCATACCCCTGTCCACATTACGTCTGTTTTATCCTCCCTCATGATTCTCTATCCATATCTATACCCCTCCTTCCTCCATCCTCTTTCTCTCGGGATCTCCGTTAGACTTCCTCTGATGTATTCCACCTAGACTACAACTAATTCCACATAGTTTTTAGATGTTGTAAAATTTAACCAACTACTCTGTGTTTTCCTAAATGTATCTAATGTATCCACCTCGATATGATATAACTCCTCCATCCTATAGATATTTTCCACTCTGTTTATCCAATCGTTTACTCTTGGCGGCTCTGGGACTTGCCAAGATTTGGGGATCAAGTCCTTAGCTGACTAAGTGATACAGTACCCTATTACTAGACAAGTTCATTGGAGCCTCGGGTTTATAAAACAAACACATCCATGGATCTCTCTGGACCGTAATCCCACATATTTCCTGGATGAGTTGTATTATTCCCTTTCAGTAGTCCTGTATATTCGGGCAGTCCCACCATAGGTGACCCATTGTTCCCTTCCAATAGTCCTGTATTATCGGGCAGTCCCACCATAGGTGACCCATTGTTCCCTTCCAATAGTCCTGTATTATCGGGCAGTCCCACCATAGGTGACCCATAGTTTCCTTCCAATAGTCCTGTATTATCGGGCAGTCCCACCATAGGTGACCCATAGTTCCCTTCCAATAGTCCTGTATTATCGGGCAGTCCCACCATAGGTGACCCATAGTTTCCTTCCAATAGTCCTGTATTATCGGGCAGTCCCACCATAGGTGTCCCATTGTTCCCTTCCAATAGTCCTGTATATTCGGGCAGTCCCACCATAGGTGTCCCATTGTTCCCTTCCAATAGTCCTGTATATTCGGGCAGTCCCACCATAGGTGTCCTATAGTTCCCTTCCAATAGTCCTGTATTATCGGGCAGTCCCACCATAGGTGTCCCATTGTTCCCTTCCAATAGTCCTGTATTGGGGCAGTCCCACCATAGGTGTCCCATTGTTCCCTTCCAATAGTCCTGTATATTCGGGCAGTCCCACCATAGGTGTCCCATTGTTCCCTTCCAATAGTCCTGTATATTCTGACAGTCCCACCATAGGTGACCCATAGTTCCCTTCCAATAGTCCTGTATTGGGGCAGTCCCACCATAGGTGTCCCATTGTTCCCTTCCAATAGTCCTGTATATTCGGGCAGTCCCACCATAGGTGACCCATAGTTCCCTTCCAATAGTTCTGTATTATTAGGCAGTCCCACCATAGGTGTCCCATTGTTCCCTTCCAATAGTCCTGTATTATCGGGCAGTCCCGCCATAGGTGTCCCATTGTTCCCTTCCAATAGTCCTGTATATTCGGGCAGTCCCACCATAGGTGACCCATAGTTCCCTTCCAATAGTCCTGTATTATCGGGCAGTCCCACCATAGGTGTCCCATTGTTCCCTTCCAATAGTCCTGTATTGGGGCAGTCCCACCATAGGTGTCCCATAGTTCCCTTCCAATAGTCCTGTATTGGGGCAGTCCCACCATAGGTGACCCCATAGTTCCCTTCCAATAGTCCTGTATTATCGGGCAGTCCCACCATAGGTGACCCATAGTTCCCTTTCCCCCACAACCTCTCCAGCACATCAGTGAGACATCTACTTGTTGTTTATGTGCCTCACTCGGTGTGATATATCATCTCGCCAGACATTTGTAATTTGTCTTCAAAGACATGCTGGTAGGTTAATTGGCTCCTGTTCAAATTGTCCCTAATATGTGTGTATCTCCTGCCTCCTGGGGACTGGTGAGAGGGCTATTTGCTCATTGGTGATAGTGCTAGCAGGGACTGAGAGCAGGACACCAAGCGTACCCGATCCATACTGCACTCTATACCGCACGTATCCCAAACCTAGACCACACCTATACCAGCCCTATTATACCGAACCTTTACCGCATCGGAACCACATCTACCTGGCACCTGTGCTGAGACTGGACTGCACCTATACTGCAGGTAGGTTAGCTGGAACTGTTATTAAGTTCACCGACATTCTTAAAGGGCCCTAACGATAGCCGGCAGAAGAACACCCCAAAGAACTGCTCCGTAATAATTATTATGCAAGATCGCAAGCTCCTGAAGGTAGGGACTGATGTGAATGTACAGTATGTAAAGCGTTCTGTCTGCATGTTCTCCCTGTGCCTGCGTGGGTTTCCTCCAGGTAGTCCGGTTTCCTCCCACACTTCAAAGACAAAGTGGTAGGTTAATTGACTCCTGTTCAAATTGGCCCTAGAGTGTGTGTATCCCCTGCATCTCGGGGACTGGTGAGAGGGCTATCCCCTGCATCTCGGGGACTGGTGAGAGGGCTATCCCCTGCATCTCGGGGACTGGTGAGAGGGCTATCCCCTGCATCTCGGGGACTGGTGAGAGGGCTATCCCCTGCATCTCGGGGACTGGTGAGAGGGCTATCCCCTGCATCTCGGGGACTGGTGAGAGGGCTATCCCCTGCATCTCGGGGACTGGTGAGAGGGCTATCCCCTGCATCTCAGGGACTGGTGAGAGGGCTACTTGCTCATTGGTGATACTGCTAGCAGGGACTGAGCCACTGAGAGCAGGACACCAATTGTACCCGATCCATACCGCACCCATATTGCACTCTATACCGCACGTATCCCAAACCTAGACTACACCTATACCGGCCCTATACTGCATTATACTGAACCTTTACCGCACGGGTGTCAAACTGGTGGCCCTCCAGCTGTTGTGAAACTACAAGTCCCATCATGCCTCTACCTTTGGGAGTCATGCTTGTAACTGTCAATCTTGCAATGCCTCATGGGACTTGTAGTTTGGCAGCAGCTGGAGGGCCGCCAGTTTGACACCCGTGCTTTACACATCTACCTTGCACCTGTGCCGAGACTAGACTGCACCTATACTGCAGGTAGGTTAACTGGAACTGTCGTTAAGTTCACCGACATTCTTAACCACTTCCCGTCCGGCCCATGTACATAAATGGAGGCGCGGGTGGCCATTTATAAAATGTCCCCCCGCATTCACTCCTGGGAGTGCTCGGCACCGCAATCTGGTGCCCACTGTGTCCTCCGGACATAGCGGAACACCGATCACTGTATGGGACCTCTGTGTGAGGTCCAGATCATGTGATCTTTGATTGTCCAATCAGTGATCACATGAACAGTAGTAAACAAGATGTCACTTCCTGACATCATTGCTTACTACATGTGAAATCTGTGAATGATCACAGAGATCACTTGGTACAGGGCCATTCACAACAGCCTTGTACCATGTGACAAGCTGTGACCAATCACAGCTCTCACAGTATTTCTCAATGGCTGCAGGAATGCAGCCAGAGAGAAGGAGAAATGATTGCTTTTACATCCTATATGGGTGTAAAAGCAATCAGTGTAAAAATAAACAATTTCATTACCCCCCCCCCCCCCCCCCCACAAGTAGTACTGCTAAGGTGACAGTATGTTAAAAAAAACAAAACATAAATAATAAAATGAAAATGTAAAAAAAATTTTTTAAATGATAATTTTTGGTTATAAACTACTTTTGTTTGGTTTTTTACTAAAAAGATAACTGAATTAGTTTTGGCCAAGATTTATGATGAAAGATTATTTGTTTGCAAAATGTTATAAGAAAAACACTTTTTTTTCAAATGTTTTGGACTTTTTCATTTACATAGCAAAAAAAATAAAAATCCCAGCGGTGAATAAATACCACCAAAATAAAGCTTTATCTGTCTCAAAGAAATGCTAAACAATTTCATATGGGTACAGTGTTGCATGACCGCGCAATTGTCATTCACAGTGTGATAGAGCTGAAAGCTGAAAATTGGCCTGGACTGGAAGGGGGGGAAAGCGTCCGGACTGGAAGGGGGGGGGGGGGGAAAAGCGTCCGGACTGGAAGGGGGGGGGGGAAAGCGTCCGGACTGGAAGGGGGGGGGGAAAGCGTCGGGACTGGAAGGGGGGGAAAGCGTCGGGACTGGAAGGGGGGGGGGAAAGCGTCCGGACTGGAAGGGGGGGGGGGGGGGAAAAAGCGTCGGGACTGGAAGGGGGGGAAAGCGCCCGGACTGGAAGGGGGGGGAAGCGTCCGGACTGGAAGGGGGGGGGAAGCGTCCGGACTGGAAGGGGGGGAAAGCGTCCGGACTGGAAGGGGGGGAAAGCGTCCGGACTGGAAGGGGGGGAAAGCGTCCGGACTGGAAGGGGGGGAAAGCGTCCGGACTGGAAGGGGGGGAAAGCGTCCGGACTGGAAGGGGGGGAAAGCGTCCGGACTGGAAGGGGGGGGGGGTGAAAGCGTCCGGACTGGAAGGGGGGGGGGGTGAAAAAGCGTCCGGACTGGAAGGGGGGGGGGGGGAAAGCGTCCGGACTGGAAGGGGGGGGGGTGAAAAGCGTCCGGACTGGAAGGGGGGGGGTGAAAGCGTCCGGACTGGAACGGGGGGGTGAAAGCGTCGGGACTGGAAGGGGGGGGGGGGAAAGCGTCGGGACTGGAAGGGGGGGGGGGGGGGAAGCGTCGGGACTGGAAGGGGGGGGGGGAAGCGTCGGGACTGGAAGGGGGGGGGGGGAAAGCGTCGGGACTGGAAGGGGGGGGGGGGGGGGGGGGGGGGGGGGGGGGGGGGGGGGGGGCAAGCGTCGGGACTGGAAGGGGGGGGGGGAAAAGCGTCGGGACTGGAAGGGGGGGGGGGGGAAGCGTCGGGACTGGAAGGGGGGGAAAGCGTCGGGACTGGAAGGGGGGGAAAGCGTCGGGACTGGAAGGGGGGGGAAAGCGTCGGGACTGGAAGGGGGGGAAAGCGTCGGGACTGGAAGGGGGGGAAAGCGCCCGGACTGGAAGGGGGGGAAAGCGCCCGGACTGGAAGGGGGGGAAAGCGCCCGGACTGGAAGGGGGGGAAAGCGCCCGGACTGGAAGGGGGGGGAAAGCGTCCGGACTGGAAGGGGGGGGGGAAAGCGTCCGGACTGGAAGGGGGGAAAGCGTCCGGACTGGAAGGGGGGGGGGGGGAAAGCGTCCGGACTGGAAGGGGGGAAAGCGTCCGGACTGGAAGTGGTTAAAGGGCCCTTACAATAGCTGGCAGAAGAACATCCCAAAGGCTTGCCCCTCCCCTAATCATTATTCTGGAAGATCGTAAGCTCCTGAGGGTAGGGACTGATGTGAATGTACAATATGTAAAGCGCTGTGTAAACTGTCAGCACTAAATAAATACCTGTAATAATAATAAATACCAACAACACAGACAAGTCATCTGTGCTCACTCTGCTCTCTCCACCTACCAGCGTATTACCTGTCAGTGCAGACTGATTGGCCTCTTAGTGCTGCCCCTCCCTCTCCTGTTGTTCCGTGGATGGCCGGGGACTATCAGCATTAGCTGAATGTAAAATGACATTTAATTGTGATAAATGGTGTATTTTATCGGTTTTAACCCTTTGTGTGGTGTATAGGTGGATCCCAATGACGTGTTTGTGCTCCCACCGAACGGCATCCAAGACCTTCACATCGCTGTGCGCCCCAACAAAGCCGGCAGCAGATTCATCTACCTCAACCTAGTAGACGTTGACCAACATCAGCTGGTCGCCTCCTGGCTGGTCTGTGTAGTGAGCCGGAATCCCATTATTTCTAAGGTGAGCCGTGAATTTTGTTTCTTTTAAATTTGATTTGAATTTAAATATCCTAAAGCGCATTTGTGTTCTGCGCCTTTATTGGTTGACACTTCCGGTGTAATGTAACTGCTTCCCAACCGCCCTATAGCAGAAATACTGCGACAGGGCGGCACGGTGCGCAAAATCACGAGTAGGTGACACCATGTTGGCCAAGAGTGCTGTCTGGAGCCCATCGCAGGGGACCACTTAGTCGTCGGTGGGCTCTTGCCAGTCTGTAAAAGCGACACACCTCCCTCTTCAGGTTGGCAGACATATTGCAGCGCCGCACCTGCCTACACACAGACTGCAATGAAAGCCCGCCAGAGGTTCTGCCCTGCCTCTGCTCTGTCCAAGTCATAACCTTGGCCAAGATGGCCACCTGGAGCCCATGGCAAGGGATCACCTAGTCCTCAGTGAGCTCCTGCCAGTCTGTGAAAGCGACACACAGCTTCCTCTTCAGGTTGGCAGGCATATTGCAGCTCTGCACCTGCCTACACACAGACTGCAATGAAAACCCGGCAGAGGTTCTGACCTGCCCCTGATCTGTCCAACACAAACCGTTGGCCAAGATGGCCACCTGGAGCCCATGGCAGGGGACCACCTAGTTCTCAGCGAGCTCCTGCCGGTCTGTGGAAGTTACACAGCTCCCTCTTCAGATTGGCATACATATTGCAGCTCTGCGCCTGTCTATACACAGACTGCAATGAAAACCTTGCAGAGTTTCTGACCTGCCTCTGCTCTGTCCAAGACAAAAGGTTGGCCAAGATGGCCACCTGGAGCCCATGGCAGGGGACAACC